CATGGGTGTACATAACGAATTCACTGGAAAGAAGATGTGGCCCCAAATTGTCTATAATTGACACCACACCAGAAGTTACTAAATTCGCAATCAGATCCACTGTATAGCCTATGAGGATCAACGTCCAGCAACAATCTTGTTCAATGGTGCGTGAAAATCGAAATAGTTGAATAGCACTGACTCATGAGGTACAGCTACTCAGAATGTGCCCATAAATGGCAAATATCCGAGTTATATTCATGCAGACACTAATGGAAGCGAGAACAGCGAAATCTAAAAAATGCAAAAAGCCACGACGCAAGGGGAGCCGAACCATCAACCCCACCCTCACTGTCCGATTGCGAAACCTCCACTCTATCCACTAGGCCATCCGATGCTCGACCTGCTAGCGCTCTTATCGTTGATGAAACCATTGCAAGAAGCCGTTCACCCTTGAGCACATGACCCAAGTTGGAAGCTCACTTACGGCGATTTTTCGCTTCGATTCAAATAGCCCCTTTATAAGGACCCCCCACTCAGCAACTGGTCAAAGTTGCAAGTGACCTACGCCGCATAGAGGCCCAGAACGAAGCAGATTCCAAAGATTTCTTTTCACTCGTTTTTTACCTTTCCTGGAAGCGCGCAGCGAAAATGAAGCACACTTTTCAGGTCCTTGCATGAGCCCCTACAATATGCAAAAAACCGTTTTCGAAAAGCGCACCACGCCCTGAACGACCTCCCTTGTGAGGCCCGAGAAGTGATGGGATGGTGCAACTTGTGCACAATGTCTGTCCACGCGAGCAAATGTGTCTATAGGATTCAGGGAGGTCCATGGCGAACCTGTGCACTTGTTTACAGTGTTTTCCGTTGCGTATGATGGAGCGTGTCCCTGTCGACGCCGCCAGATTCGTGCTCCGCCAATGATTCCGATAAAGGAGACCAACTGCTGGAAAACGTCTGATACGAGCGATATGGTAGTCCTGTCGTTTGTCGAAAAAAAGCAGGTTGGCTCAGCGCCAAGCGCGATCCCCATCATCCGCAGCGAACCAGAGTATGAGTCACTTACGAGATGATGTCGACTTATTAATATTTCCAGTTATTTCGGATTAGTTTGATGAATGAAAGTTTTGTACTATTTTTTACATATCCGAGTTCTCTACAAAGCAAGTTTCGCTGTACAGGACTCAGCACACTGACAATTTGCGCTGCTCGTTACTGGCTACCGCAAACATTACGACAAAAAAAAACCCCCCCCCCTTTTTTCTCCTGGCGGCCAAATACGACCCCCCTGTTGGGGATTCCCCAACCAGTGATGTGCTCTGGTCATAACCACTTTTTGCCACGTTTGCGCAAAAATCAAAAAAGGTTAGCTCAGCAGGGATTCGATCCCGCAACCTGTTGCGTGGTAAACGCTGTGGGAAAAGCCCCATAACTCCGTTTTCGAAGGCAGATTCGAGATCAAAGTCTAAAACACGTCTACTGAACTACATCTCATTTCAAAGGACCACTTCGACCTGAAGAGCTTCCCCAGTTAGAAAAATTGTCGAGGTTCCCCATCCAGTGCCATCACCAAGTACAGTTTGTGAGATGCGGGTGAGACTGTGAAACGGACCCGTGTCGTCGTGCGTGGAGAAAATCATCTCCGAAGAGAGCGCATGAATACCAATGAACGTTGGGCGTATATTTGAGATAAAGTCCTGTGATCGACATTTGGAAATGACAACACGTAGCGCCGGATCAGGCATGGTATCGTTCCTCTTGGGCACGTTGACTGTGCAAGCCTAGTCTATTTATCGACTTTGACCTAATCTGTAAACCGATGTATTCCAACGGAAACTGGTGTGTTCAACAAACTTCTAAACGTACTGCTCAATGCTAATGAAACTCCTCAATGTATATGAAAGCGGTATCGAGGAGCTAGTCAGACTTCCCAATTCCATATTAGCGACAAGCTTTGAGAAGCTCAAATGACAGTCGCGCACGGCGAGTATACATAAGGATTGCACGACGTGCCTGAGGCATTTCTTATCACATATCCCACGGTGACAAATGAATGGGCAAGGGCTACTAAGGGTGGCCTTCAGGTTGAAATCAAGATTTGCGATAGAGTCCATATCGCCAGACCTGTTTTGTGGCTGTCCTCAATTTTGCTTGGTTTCTTTGATTTTGATCAGAGTCGCGTTTCAGGGGCTGCCAACCATAATTCTCTACCAAGACTAATAGGTGGTTTACGAGCATCGCGGCTCACTAGTGGCCACCTCTGTCCCACGGTTCTTTCCCTCTGTTGTACTATACTTTTCCGCACAGTATAGATTCCGCTTCACGGGGGACAGTGAGATAACAACTCTGAGGGCATGGCCCCGCAGTGGGTCTAGCTCGCCTTCTTTCCTCCTGGGCAGGAGGTTGCCGGACCAAGGGCAGTCGTGGGCAGGCTCTCACCACTGGCAACGTCCGCATAACTTGATCACACTTCCACTATAGCACCAACGATCGTGTCAAATATCTGACTAGCCGTTTGTTGGGTCCACTCGCCCGAGCGTTTTCAACTCCTATGTACCACAGCAATAATCCTTTCTAGTAATCCTCGTGCTGGTTCTTGCTGCAACCCTCAGCCGGGTGTGCCCTTAAGTCCAGGAATTGACTCATTTCGAAATGAGTTTTACAGCTGCTTACTGGGAACTTTTCAGCACAACACTGATGAATATCAAACGAAGGAGTCATGGCATGAAGATGTGGGGGAAAGAAGCAGTGAAGCAGCACTGGTAGTTAGTAATGTGAGCAAAGTATGGGAAAGCACAGGCGAAGTTGCCGTGAATGGATTTGTCCATGAAAGCTTATACAGGAGACGTGAGTTATGTTGCGACTTTTTACATAAACTTCGAATGAACTGACACCAATGCTTTGCAGCAAAATGGGTTCTCGTCATGGGAAGGCCTTCTGCTTTTCCGTTGAACAGAATAGAAAAGACCAGAACATTTCCGCACTTCTTTGGCACCTCCGGCATCTCACTATATAATCGGCTGTTAGTGTGTGCATGTGCTTGTGGGTATGTCTGTCTGTCTGTCTATCTGTTTCTCTGTCTGTCTGTCTTTCTGTCACGAAATTCATGGCGATGGTCTTAACCAACGTTCTACCATGGAACATAGGAACATCACGGGTGGGTAACAAGAAGTTATAAGAAATAAGATCTGATACCTGATAGGGGGTCAGAAGGGAGAGCCACCAAATTCATTGCTCAGGTTCCAGCAGTGGTGGGGGCCGATTCCACGATATGATGCAGAGTATACGGTACCATTAGGTTAGTGACAAGGAGTGTTAACAGCTCATAACATTTGACTAGAGAATTCGAAAGGAGAAGGTCACCATATTCTACCATATATTAGCTAGGGGTTGTTTCTAGCAAGTAATGTAGAGGGTGAGAAGGAGACATCAGCAGTGGATGAAAACGCTTTAAGAAAGGATATGGCGGATAAGGTATGCTGAAGCCGTTGTCTCTAAGGTGATGGACTTTTACACTGTCCACTCATAAAGGTTCAGCGATAGGGATGATGACGGGTGACAGTTAATTATACCATCGATCCTTTCTTCAAGGTCAATAAAACCAAGATCAGAAGTGGATCTATCTGCCGCTGGACATTTAGATGCCTGGAGTGATGTTTGAAGTAAGAAGGCCCTGTATTTTACGCTGCTTCCCTGAACTTGCGGTCATTAATGGGACGGTGCAGCGTCTAACAGTTGAAAGCCAGGAACTACGGATAGGGACCAGAAGTGAATAACTGATGTGTGATGCGGATCAATCCTCAACTCATTCCTCTACATTTTCGTCGTGCTCTGTGACCGTTTGGCACATTGTCATCGCCACATAGCCTGAGGCAAGAGCGCGTAGCGATGCCAGGTCCCGAGCAAAAGGGTTGAAGAGCCCAGAACATGCTGAACTCACGGAAATTCTGGTGAACCCTCGTCGAAATGAGGAGGTTTCCAACCACTGAATCCCAACGTGGAAAATGTTCACTACGTGGCACCAATTCATCTTACTATATAACGTTCGCTATGTAAGTGTGTGTCATGAACTTGATAGCATGCGTCGCACCAAGACATTGGTTCAGAACATGATATAAAGATGAAAGAGCAATTGATTCGCGGTGAGAAACTAAGCGGTTTTCATCTCCCTGCTAGCCTACCGCGCAGATCAACGATCGAGTCTCAGTGCATATTCTTCCACTACTTCTGAAAATTTGTGAGCGGTCGTAATGCGCCCTTCTTTTCGGTGGAAGAGAGTGGTCGTTGTACAGATCCGGCCAAATTCCCAGCTCAATGCTACAAACAACTCCGCGTGCACACATCGGTCTCAAGAGAGACCTGAATACGAATGAATCGCATCCTGAAGAGCTAGGCTCAGTTTTTCGGAAGTATAAAGTGGTTCTCCTATTCAATACGTTGACGACGAGCCATTTTTCTCATAACTTGCGCGTGGGACGGCACACTTTTCTCTGTTAAAACTCAGTAATTTTGAACAAATGGATGACTGCGGTCAAAATGTGTCAAGAAATGCAGGAGAAGGGTATGAGAATTAATATTTTGAAGCAATTTAGCTTTTATTGTCCGGCCTTCCAAAATTAGGACGTTTTCTACCAATTCTTTCCTCTGAAGGCGGATTTGGCTTAAAATTGGTCTCCCGAGATAGTTTGGCCTCCCAAAGACCAATATCACATCTCCTTGGCCTGAAACTATTTCTTCTCTAACCACTTTTGCGAGGTGGGACTTGAATATTCGATATACGAATCGAATGCGGTATTCGTGTTCAGCGGGTCGAACTACCCCTGGAGCCAAGTTTTCAGCAAATTCTGCCCACGGAGAAAAAAGTCGGTCAGGAACTGGCCTGATTTCGGATGACTGGGGCAGTAAAGGGTAAATAGTGCCACAAATTGTTGCTGAATAAGTGTGATCTTGCTGCACTCATTGCCTTCAAGGTCACGGTACTTCTCGGGCATAATGGAGCCGGCAAAAGCACGACATATAGTATGATTTGTGGATCAACAAGTATGACGGCAGGCAAGTATTCCATAATAGTTCGGGTAATCAATTCATGATGATCACATGACTGCATTCTTTGTAGAAGAGTGTGAATATTTAACAGGATCTATAACAATATTTGGTCAAAACCTCCGAACAAACTTGTCTTCTTGTCGTTCAAGCATGGGTTTCTGTCCACAGTTTAACTGCATTTTCGAGCACTTGACCGTTAACGACCATTTTTGGTTTTTCTCTAAGCTGAAAGGAGGTGGTGGATGGAAAGTAGATGCGGATGAGCTCTGCTCTTCTCTTGGCATGCAAAGCTTAAGACAAAAGGCGAGTGATACAATTTCGAAAATTCAATGCATTCCACATGTGAGTATGTGTACCTTCTCACCTTAAGCTGTCTTCGAAACTCTCTGGCGGCGAAAAAAGGAAACTATGCCTAGCACTGGCATTTGTCGGAGGATCCAACTTCTGGTGCTAGACGAGCCAACAGCTGGAATGGATCCGCAGTCCAGGAGAATCGTAACAGATTTCATCATAAAACAAAAGCAAGAGAGGTAAGTGCTATCTCGCGGACATACAGGGGGGGGGTAAAAAAAGCCACTTTGCTTCATTGTCTTTCGCGG